TTTTGTAGACCAGAAAATATGTTTCTCCCACTAGCTGTAATTTATATTGAAGTTGGAATAGGTAGATGAAAATTTAAATGAAGCTTAGTAATGTTATATTTATTGGAAAAATGGCACTTTTGGGAAATAAACAGAACTAAACCTGAAATGGCTCAGCCTTGCCTGCATTGCATCTTACAAATATTCATCATAGATCCTAAATATTACATCTTTAAAAGACTTCAAGAAAAAAATTCAAAGGGTCTATGCTGTTCCCCTTTGGATAAGCCACTATATTTGTATTACATATAATCAGTGATGGGAGTAACGGCGTTGAAAGTAACAGCGTTACTAAGGCCGTTACCTTTTTTTAGTAACGAGGTAATCTAGCTAATTACTTTGACTGTAATTATAACGCAGTTACCATTGCAGACACCCCGTTACTGCGCGTTATACAGGTCACACAATGAACCTTTTTTTCACTCGTGCGTGCCTTGTCATGAGAGAGCGGAGGATGGGATTGGCTGATGTATATTGAGATTACGTCTGTCAGCTGGGTAGGTGGGTGTTTCCGTTGACGGGTGTTACGATCCCCCCATGATAAGCAGGGGGAACACTATCTGACGGGGTTTATAGGCCCGTCAGATAGCGTTCCTTCCTGATGTCATTTACGTTGAGTTGCAATAAATGCTAAACTCTCTGCAGGTTCTTGTCTTTGTCGTCCGCTCTATTCAGCTGGCTTTAGAAACACACGGCGAGAAGGTGGGGGCTGGGTGGTGAGGGTTACGGGGCGAGAAACGCAAAAGTAACACAATAGTTACTATTACTAGTAACTAGTTACTTTTATTGTGGAGTAACTCAGTTAGTAACTCAGTTACTTTTTGGGAGAAGTAACTAGTAACTATAACTAATTACTTTCCCAAAGTAATGTGTCCAACACTGCTTATAATACAATAAAATGTTAATTAGCCATAGAATAAAATACAATTCTCTAAACCTTGTATTCAAAAATACTTAATTGAAATGTGAACAAACTGGAATTCTTTTTGATCCCAAAAGTTCAAAATAAATAAATTTTACTTACTATTTACTTTCTGTAATATTTCCTTTCTCTATACGTTTTGTTAATTTCACCCATTTGAAAAAGACAGTTTCTGAGAGCTTCACTGGAAGCTCAGTTAAGACCAGGAGGAGAATGCTTTATATGAACTATTGAAATTGATTGACTGCAGTAATGCTGCTATGCAGGTTTCTATGCAATATTCTCTTTCCAACCTTAGCTCACACTGTAAGATACCAGGATGGCAGAACATTTAAGTCTATTTTTTTCACAATAAATTTCTGCATTTTCTCATTACAAGATATATATGAATGAAGAAATAAAGGACCATATGTATGTAAAGTGCTTTCAGATGCCTTCACATTCTGAATGGGCTCTATATAAATAGACAAATGCTTTACTTTACTAGCCTGGCTTTAAAAGAAATAGTAAATAAAACTGAGCAGATATTAGAAAGGACATATGATCTGTGATTTCTAGCTCCATTCAAAGAGTCTTAAATCCCATCTCTAAGTGAAAAGCAGGTGTTTCTCCATATATTGCAGAAAATAGTTCAATCTGTATGCTTGCTCTAGCTTTATTCACTCTGAACAATACACTGATACTTCATATAGCTAATCATAAGTCCTCAAAGCAGCAGCATCTGTATAGTATGTTTTGTCTGGCATGAATGGGTTAGTGGTTGGATTGTCAGGACGGAGCAAAGGAATGGATTAACACAGATCGTAGATATATGTGTTTTAGTAAACACAGGGACTGGAATTTCACAGAATATTCACTTAGATCTGTTTTTTTATTGGCTCTTATAGTTCTAACAAATTAAAGTGTTCTGGCTCATTTGGAATAACAGATTGAACTATATATATATATATATATATTGTGGATTTATAATTTAGGTGTGGATCTTAAACAGGCACTCTGGTAGGATACATTACGTTGCTTATAATTAATTTTCCCAAAAAAGTATTTTACAGATGTTTTTTTTTAAGAGTGAGAAAGTAAACTTTAAGTGTTTTTGGAGTTTTCAAAGGGGGCTCAGGCTCAGCTAGCTCAGTAGTAGCAATGAAAATTAGCAGCTATGGTCGTTTTAACTTGGCCAGGTTTTCCAGGATTACCTGTAATCTGCTTGTAGCAGCTGACATTTAATATAAAGCACTGATGAAGTATGCAGTAAACAATGCGAGTAGAAAATCTGATATTTCTAAACCAGAAGATTTTAAAATGTAAACTTGATGTCGGTTGAAAAGAAACTGTTTTGTTGTATTTTAGTAAGAAAATATTTTAGTACAGCAATAATGATCATAGAGAACAGTCTCTCTTTTCCTTGTAAATAAACAAAATAAACATTCCCCTTAACTGGCTCTTTATATAAATAAAGTGAATGTATGCAAACCTAATCTGGTGGTATGTAACCCCTGTAGGAGGAGGAGCATACCTCAAGCGGAAGTGCGCAGACAAAAAGCAGCTGTGATTGGTCCCAGCTGTCTGTGTGGTCGTCCTTTTGATTCTGTGGGGCGCGCCATTTTTAAAAACCGATGAACAACTACGATGAAAGGTAAATCAAAGAGGTTCCGAAGTACAACCACTTGTACGATACCTCAGACAAATTATACCGTATAAAGATTCAAAGGTCTCTGCCAAAACAAAGTTCTCATGACCGTCTACCAGAGTTTTTGCGAGTTCTCGAATTGGCTCCCCCTTGCACTTCAGCAGGAAACTGCTGTCCGTCTCTAGAAATTCCAAACCGACGGTGCAGAAGCATACCGGCAAAACTGGTTTGCGACCAGAACCAAGCCACATTTGATGTGTGCGGTTGCTGAAGTTTAATCTGCCCTTAAGACAAGGGAAATATAAACGGAGCTTAGCTTTTACTGTGACTAAATGTAATGTGCTTTCTTTTATCCCTTTTTACATTATAACTGCCTCAAGCTTTACTAACAGAGCCTACCATGGAGCTACTTCACTGCTGCCTTTGTTAACAAGAGAGAATTTATGTATTAGCATTTATAGTACAGTATTTATGCTTCTATATTCCTCTAGTCAGTGGCCGCCGGCCAATAGAGGGGCAAGGGTGGCGCCTCACTCACCCAATGACCTTAATTAAGACAGAAAAAAAATAATAAAAATGAATTCATAAAATTAGAATATTCAAAATATATTGATATATATTTTAGATGTGAAAGATAAATATTTAATCGTAAGTAAAGCTGTTTTCGGTCCTTGTCAGATTGGTGATCTATTTCCGCTCTGGGGTGCAAAAATCTTTGCCCATTGACTCTTGTTAAAAGCTGTTCATGCACAGTAGCTTCCATGCTAAGATCAGACCTTCCTGGGTCGCAGCTCTCCTGCTCCCAGAGCTGAAAGCATCTTTATTTGCACACCACCTCCCGCCACAGCGCTGATGTCACGGTCGGCTGTTATAAAGTGCGGCTGATTGACAGGTTTATATGATTAAGGCAGGTAGGACTGATTTTAAGCACTTTTTAGAACATTTTATAATGTTGCTTTTTGTTGTTGGCTTTAGGTAAATATACTGGTGTGATACCTTATTATAAATTTGATTGGTTTTCGGTGTACGACTCTTTTTGAAGCTATAGCCTCCGCTAGAGAAAACTCCACCAGTCACCACTGCCTCTTGTGTGTCTTCTTCTCTACTCAAGGCTTCTCCCTGTTAAAAGTTATTTTCCTCTCGAATGTTGCTGCATGCATGCTCGATGTGAGGGATTGCTGTAGAGTCAAGAGCACAACGGATCCTCATGAAAGCATCGTCATCCAGGAGGATGTGATGATGAAGTCAACGACTGAATGCAATCAGCTGGATGTCCTTTGACTAAAAACTTTAAACCAATTTGTCTGAATGACCAGATTATATTGTCTATGTAAAGTGAATAAACTGAGTTGAATTGGTTTTAACAGAAAAAAGGTTTTGTTAATATATTCTTGTTTCAAATGTAGGTGAAAATGAAGTTCCAAGGAAACAACTCTGGCTAGAAGCAGGTGGGTGAAACTTAAATGTCATATAACTATTTTCACTTATCCTGCAACTGGATCCAATTCACCTTAATGACCAACTACATACATCTACTATTATTCTTCAGTTCAAACAATAGGAACAAAAAATATTTTAAACCATTTCAATCAATCTATATTTGAATGGAAATAAAGGGTAATGCTTTGGTTTCTTATTACTGCCACCCACTGCACTGAACTTTTTAAAGCGGATTCAAATAAATATTTCAGGACATGGATAAAGAGTTTATATATAAAAAAAAAAAATAATGTAGAAAAAGTTATTGATTTCTAATTTGGCAACTTATTCTTTAAAACATATTTCCATTTAAGTACTGTTGTAGGTTGACTGTGTTGTGCTGGCACTGTAAGGACACGGCCACTTACTCCCGTCAAGCAGAGGTGAGATGAAGGGGTTCTTTTTCCAGCTAATATGACGGCAACATCTCTTTTTTTTAGCTTTTCTTAAAATCTGCAATTCTCCCTCAAACTTCCTGGACTTTGTTCAGAAGAGGCGTGACACAGCAAAGTCATGTAATAGGCAGTACAAAGATAAGGAGAGGGAGCTTTGCTTTGAAGGCAAGTATGTTTCTTCCAGGTTGGAAAACCATTTTTTTAGTTAATATCAAACCACTACTCTATAGTGCTTAAGGCAAATGTCTTACAGTTGTTAATTTTGAAAGGCTTAAAAAAAAACATGATATAGGCTCTATAATAATTATTAAGAGGCATTGTATTTATATTAGCCGTATTAAATGCCAGTGCTCAAATTCCTCTTTCATCTAATGTCAGCCATATTACGCTGCTGTTTACGTGGTAATACTCAATGGACAAAATGGTTTTTGATTTGATTGAAGTAAATTCAAATAAGAAAAGAAATTGACAACAAAAATAAAAACAAATACAAAAAAGTTTGTTATGGATTCTGCTTGAAAAGAACAAGTTTCATGTGTTTAATCTTTGGTCTTTAGTCAGAGGCGACAGTGCCATTGGATGCAGGAGTTTGCCCTGCATCGTTTGTGGGTTCGAGCCCTGGTTTCGGCTTTCAGTAACCTTTGGGCATTTCCTACTGATGGCGGTCAGGCCAGTAGTGCCTGTGTACGGCATCATTGCTCAACCTTGAGACCCAGGTCAGCTGTAGCTACAATGTAGCTAGCCACCATCAGTGTTTGTGTGAATGAGTGAATGACTGAATGTAGTAAATGACTGAAAGCGCTATAAAAGTACTGACCACTTACCCTGTTTCTCTCGGTTAGATAATTCACCTCTTACAAGTCTAAGCACCTACAACACACTAGGAGCACAAAAGTAAAATCTTTCATTTAAAGAAAAACACTATATATTTTACACAATATATAACTCCTGGTATTTATCTGTACCACCACAAACACAACAACAAAAGCAATCATATGATAATATCTTGGCTCTAATTTGACTCTATTAGGGTCACTTTGACTCTAATTTGACTCAGTGCTGTGCCTCGCTCACAATTAAGGTTGCGCTTAAGTGCTTTATGGCCCATAAACTTACATTATATACAAAAACATTCCTTACAGTAATAGTGATGTGCTCACTTTGTAAGTGCCTGTGTTGTTTTCTTTTTTCAGCAGAAAGACTGAGAAACCTCCAAATAATCAGTTATTAGTCCCATGATCTTTCGAGTAAAAAAACAGGAAAGCACTTTGGCGTTTAAATCTATCCTCATAGCCATGCATGTGTTGGTTCCCGCAAACACTAATAATACCAAAAGAGTTACTTAGTCTCTCCATAGGGTTATAATATAAAACAGAATGATAAATAATATTACATAATGGAAAATTTGACTCAAACTCTTAGACATATAGTCCAGGCCAAGAAACTCACAACTGATTGTGGTGTTGGTTGGAACAGAGATGGCTGGTTTAAAATGGAAACTTTTCCTACCTCTACCTTGTAAGGTGATCGTGGAGTCTAGTTATATAATTCCATATTCTTCCAAACTTTAGTCCAGACAGTAAAACCATTCAGTTTACCAACAGGTTCAGCCGGGTGACTCACTCCTTATAAGCCAGGCCCAGAGTGGGAGGTGGGGTGTGAGTGAGAAGGGGACGGGGCAGAGTAGGGGGAGGAGTCGGGCTTGAGCGCCCAAACACCACCTGCACTTGCCTGTGGAAATTAGGTGTGATTGGATTTTCTTGAAAATTTCGAAGGTTTTCATGGAAACGGTTGCTGCTCTCACTGTCAAGACGGTTGTTATCCTCATTTGGGCGGTGATTGTTGTGGAGATCGGGGGTCTGCCCTTGGTCTTGGACCTTGATGTTGGTGCTGCCCTTTCTTCTGAGGGTGGACTCACAGCTGGATGAGGCAACCGACTGGCAGTCAGAACCTCCATCACTGCTTGCCGCATTTGCCTCTACTGGTGTGACCCTAATAGTAGTAACTGCTTGGAGGTGAGGGTGAAAAGGAGGAGCATTGGTGACAGTAGAAGGCAAAGAGATGTGGGAGTTGGTAGAGCTTGGGTTAAAATTAGAATGAGCATTGTTAAAGTTGGGATTATTGGGATGGTTGGGGTTAAAATTTTGGTGCTGGTAATTGTTAGGATTATATTGTTGTTGTTGGGGGTATAAAGGGTAACTAGCACGTGGATGGTTGGAGTGTTTGCCCATCTCTCCACCATCACCGCCACCTTCGCTCTCTGATTCAGCCCCTGTAACACTTCTCCTTCCGTCCACTGAGCCACCATCTCTAAGAGAATCATAACTGTCTGTGTGTCTGTTCAGGTCGTTGAGGGCGAAGGTTGACTGCCGCAGAGATCCTCTTTGTTCAGGCGGTTTCCATCGCCATGAGCCACTGCCATCTGTGCTTGGAGGTTTCACCACAGGTTTTTGTCGTGACTCTGGGTGAGCGTCTACATGAACTATACTGCCATTTCTTTCCAAACCTCCTCCTAAAAATTTAAACCAAGGAAACTGTTACCTTTTGTAAGTCATGCAACAGAATACATAGCAGGCCTACTCGTGTAGCTGTCTTGTGTACATTTTTCAGTTTTGCCTCTTAAAATCTGCATGCTTCTCATATATATTTAATACGATTATGAAAATATGTATTTATTGCTTATAAATAGGGTTGAAAAGGAATTTCTCGGATTGAAACCTATCTCCTCTGTTTGTAAAGCACAGCTAAAACTCTGGAACTTCATTTGACCACTCTAGCTATTGTGCAATAAATCACAGTGTTATACAAAGCCAGAAAATAGTGTAAAAGAAGTATAAAATACAGACCTCCTATTGCCCCAGTGGTAGAGGCCGGTGGAGATGGATCTTGGTCTGTCAGTGCCCTGTACCGAACAGATCCACCGTCTTCAGACCGAGGAGAGTGAAGGAGACCTTGCTGTTTAGACAAGGCTATGACCTGGATAAAAAAAGAGATTCAATAAATTAAGATCATTTTTAGTCATTTTTATTATACTGTTAGGATAATAAAAACAACTTTTAAATTGAACGTAAAGTACCAGTGCTACTATTGAAAATATAACTGCAGTTTTTGGCCAAACCTACGCAATATGATGGAGATCATAGGATGTTTAAGTCTCATCCTATAAATGTGAGTTCAGGGTGGACCCTGCCTCTCGCCCGTAGACAGCTGGAGGTAGGCACCGGCACACCTCGCGACCCCGCTTGAGATAAGCGTGATGGAAAATGGATGAAGGGATGGAGTTCTATGCTGATATACCAACGCAATAGTCAACCTGACCGACCAATCATAGCGAATAACCGGTAGTGATGCACTTTCTTAAATGCCTCCTTGTTTGTGTTTGTAGCATCAGCCACATGGAGAGTCATGGCTGAAAGCCAATCAGAGGGGAAAAAAGTACTCTCATTATATGAATCTGGTATGTTTGCACCATATTATTTTGGTGAAAAAAAAAGTAATTTTCAAAGTTTGCCCAGAAACGGTTTGTACGTTGGGTGGTAATGCAAAGAACCTGTTTAATCACTTGAATAGAAAGCACCTGAAACAGTATCCTGAGAGCCATGCAGCAATGGGACACCCAGCAGCATCGCTGGACCCAAATGGACAATGTTAACACAGGCATAAGATAAAGGCAACATTACAAGAAAAGGAAGAGTATGAAAGAGTTAACAGAAGCTTTTTATCTTACAAAAGATATGTTTCCATTTAATACATTTGAAAACGGGTTGTTCAAACGCCTGCTCTAAGTAGTTGACAGCTTCCTGGCCAGTTACTTCTCCAACACTGCCATTACACGATTCAGGTGAATCTTTATGTCCTTTGCACATGTTAGCAAAAAACTGCATCTATCTAAATTAAAAGTGGCTCATAAAGGTTCTTTATCCTACATTGTTTTTTTTATTTGATTTTAGAACTATTTTACTTCCAGAAATGGTTTCTTTAAACTGACCAGAGACTTCAAAAAAAAGAAAATTAAAAACAATCCCCTGGACTTTGTTATCAAGTTGAAGATGTTTCGCTTCCTCTCCAGGAAGCTTTTTCAATACCAGAGACTTGCAAATTCTTCTGAAAAATATACACATAAGATCATGATAAAACCCAAATTGTGATTTTTCTATTTTAAAAAGGGTTGTATAATATTTTTGCCATATTGTCCATCGCCACGTGCTTCTTTGGGTGCAGTAGAGCAGTTTGTTTGTAATTTTGAAAATGAAACAAACCAATCAGCACAGTCCAATCAGCTACTTAGGCTATGTTTTTTATGATATCCGATTCTTCTTGGTGGTCGTTCACATTTCAAAGTATATGCGACTTGTATGTGATCTCCTGTGTGAACTGTATTCATACAACTTAAGTGTCCCGCATGCGCAGTAGAGGACGCATGACATCACAAGCGAGTGTGTTCTGTGTTTACGGAAGTAAACATGGATGGTAGTGCTGGAGGGCATCTAGCAGTCTTTCATTTCTTTCCCAACCTCAGTGTATTAGCAATGCAATCTTTTCAAGCAGGTTGAAAATAAAGACTGCTCACTGCATTATCATCCGCCATTGTTGTTTTTTAACTGCTTCTGCTTCTTGCTATTGTTGAAAGACACAGTATAGGGACCTTTGTCAAGTATTAACAGCGTTCAGGTCTGATGAACGTGACCTGGCCAAGATCCGATATGTATCAGATTCAGGGCAACATAGCCAAGTGGCATGGGTCGCTGTTAGGTTTATTCAATGATGATTATAAAATGAATGTATGTACATATGAAACATTGGAACAAGGAGATGCTTCAGTCTGTCTTGTGATTCAGTCAGTGGAGCATCCTGTCTTATGACCTGATCAATTGTCCTTTCAGAACAATACTCTGTTTTGTAACCATGTGTTATGTTCTGTTAATAAATAAGGCACTGCAGGAGGGGGGTCCAGGAGAGAGAGAGTAGTGTGTTGAGTTGCAGCTCTTTCTCCTCTGCTGCAGGAAGCTGTTGAAAATCCCTTTCTGTGTGTACTCAGTCCTACTTTTACGAACCTACATTTTTTAACCTAACAGTCACATTGGAAAAAAATGTTTGTGTTATTCAGACTATCATAACAAGATCAGATAGAGGTCACATGTGGGCAAAAAAATGGATTTGAGTGACTTCAGGCTGCTGTGTGGCTGCATTTCACAAACCTGAGAGGTGCAATCACAAGCCAGAGGGGAGATGGCAGTGCACTTGTTCACATACAGGTGTTGTGGATGGACAAAGTTTTTTAAAGCATTTTACAGTTTATACTCTACTATATTGTAAAATATTGTTTGTGCATTTTCTTTTATTTGTGGTAATGCATTCCTTTTTTATTATCTAAATTTGTCTTCATTAAAATTCTCTGGACTAAAACAACCTCTGAATGAGGAGTATATCATGTATTTGGTTTGTTTGTTACTGCAACCCCATACTGTTCTAACCTTTACCATTCTCTCTCATCTGTTACTATTTAACATATGTGTTAATAAAGTTGTCTTTCCATTTGGTCAAAACATTCAGCTTTGAACTTAAAAATATCTGTTTCATATTAATAATGATGTCAACTTCCTGGGGTCATCTGATCATAGCTTTTCTGTTGGCAGGAGGCTAAACCTGAACACAGAATAATCAGGATTAATCACAGCTGAAGCTGTAAAAGTCAATCTGCTCCAACTGTCAAATTTAGTAAGAGCAGCTTGGCTTTATTTACTTTGATTCAGCAGAAACGGATATGCAGTAGAGATTATTAGGCATGATTCATTTCAGCCTTAAGCATTAAAACAAGCAAATGGACAACTTATTAATGGAATTAAATTGCAAAACTCGTAAAGAAACATAAATAAGAGCATAATGAAAAGTTTAACCTGCATTAGACGAGGCTGTCCTCCAGCACTTAAGGGTCTGGATGGAAGGGTGGTCTTCTCTGCTACTCTAAGCCATTTCTCTCTCACTGACCCACCGCCGTCCATCATGCTGTCCTCTGATTCACTCTCCTGATCCTTACTGTGAAGATTTTCCTCCTCAGGAATGTGAACAAGCTGGGAGGAGCCAGGTCGAGGGTGAATGGCAACACGGGCCCCAGCAGCCATTCCAGTGCTCCCATTATGTGCAAGATGATTATGGTTACTTATAGGCACCGAATTTGCTGCAAGTTTCATGTATTGTGCTGGGATGTGGGCCCCGGTACGCATCTCCACTTCCTGGCTGGAGGCTGATGGCATGTGGCCCCCACTCCGGAGCTCTGCCTCCAGGCCCATGGCAGATGGTTCTGAGGAGCAACGAAATTCCATGTTTCTTTGGGGAGAGGAAGAAGGATGGTGCCGTATTCCATCCATCGCCTGCATCGACAGTTTCCTGTTATCATTCTTGTTCTTCCACTGGCTGAGCAGCTGTTTGGATCGGGTGGAGTCCATGGAAGTGTGGATAGAGGCATGGCGCCTTTGAATACGGCCCTCCTCCACCGAGGAGCCTCCATGAGACCTGAAGGATGAAATATATACAAAAAGAGAAAATGAAGCCTATCTAAAAGTATAGTGGAGGATTTTTGTGATTCTTTTTTTTTTAATTCTCCACTTTAGAAGAAAAATGCAAATACACAAGCCTGTTACCCCTCCCGTACGCCTATTAAACGTGAGTGAGAGCATTCCTAAGCCCATTTCTCCTTGTGCATGCTCAGTTTAAAAGTTGCTATTTGCATCCCTCATACAAGCTTACTTTAAATTAAAGGTATTGATTGTACAATAAATCTGTTTTGATCAACTCTGGTTGGACAAAATTAGATTAAACTGCTACCTTGGTAGTGTGCTGCTGCTAAAAGTCATCATATTGTCACGGTTTCCTGGTGGACTGGACTGAGTGATCACCTCCACTTCAGCACTAGCTCTCTTCAGATTGCTCATAGATGGCTCTCGATAGGAGGAGCTCCGCGTTAGGATGGGTACTGGATGTTCAGGAGCCAACGTGTGGGAAGACGTCCTTGTAATGATTGGCTTTGGTGGGCTGGGAGCTCGGGTGAGGTGGCCTATGAGACGACACCAAAAAAAAGGAGTTTATATTGAACCACTGAAGTGATGAGAACATCTAATTAAAATGCAAATTGAAGACAGATAATCACAGCTCTATATCAGCTCTATGGAGGACCAATCCTGCCATAATTAAAAAAAAATACATAAATAAATAAATGCTCCAAAAATAAATAAGCATACAATTAACTGCCCCCAAAAATACGTTGTACGTTGAAATTAAATCATACAGTGAGACATAAATATACATATCTCTTTTAATTACCTTCTTTATTTATTTGCCTTTGTAATAATTACCTTATTTATTTATTGTCAGTTATATTCCTCAACTTTATTTATTTATTACTTATTTCTTTAAGTATTTATTTATATGCATGTTATAATATTTTTGTCTGGTTTATTCTTCCTATGTATCGCTACCCTATTTATTTATTTCAGTCTCATTATGCAAATGAGGAGGTTGTGTCAGAAGGGCTAAACTTCTCCTCACTGGCTGGTTAGCAGCCACTGGCCACCATGACAACAAACATGGCTACCTACAATGTAGTTGTCAGTGAGCTGAGACATTTGGCTGGGCCGCTGACTGGACCAGACCAGGAATTCAAACCGAGCCACCAGCTCTGGGGCTGATCCGGGTCCGGAGCCAGCCGGAGACGGGGCGACCGAACCCAACCCGGTGACGGTATGCTTCCATCCTGCCCTACAGTGCTTCCCCCCACTTGCACGAGGCTGCGGGTACCGTCACCGGGTCAGGTTTGGTCGCTCCGTCCCCCACTCACTCCCTTCCCCTGTCCGCCGGAGTTCCCAAACTAGCCCAGGAGCTCACGCCTCAGTTCTGCTGAACTGCACGATTTTGAAATTCCCCCTGGGGAGCCAGCAGGGGACAGAGCGACCAAACCTGACCCGGTGACGATAGCCGTGGCCCTGTGCGTCCCCCCGCCGCGAGGGCCGCAAGCAGCCAGAATCCCCCCCCCCCCCCCCCCCCTCCACCACCACCAAAAAAAAAAGGGTCCTCCTTTTCAGAAACACAAGCATTGGCATTGTTTTCAAAAACAGTTGCTAAATGTCTCAGCTCACTGATGACTTCATCGTAGGTATCAATCGAATTGATTGTATTTTGGGGGGGCAAATAATTGTATGCTTATTTATTTTTCAAGTATTTATTTATTTATGCATTTATTTTTTATGGCAGGATTGGTCCTCCATACGGCTCTAATACTGTTTTTTTTAAATACATTACCCTAAATTGAAAAAAAGGAAAAGCATTTTTAGTTATTGCTGTTGTTATTTGGAGAAGTCTCTCAGAAAAAAATTATTCAGAGATAAATAAACAGTCAAAGGAAAAAGGGAAATTTCTGATGAGATTTTATAATCTGCTAAAAAATCTACAGAACCTTAATTTATCCACCTGGTTCAGTTAGCCTTAATGTAATCCTGTAATGTTGAATTTTGTGGATCTCGAGATGTAATGCACGTTAAAGTTGCAATTTTGAAGTCCAAAAAGATTGTGTGTTAAATTAAATTATGTTTTAAAGAGCCAAATGCAAAATCAACTTTTTGAGCTTTTAACTGTTATAAGGCTACTCCTTCAAAACATGTCATGCACAACAAGGTAAGCATGACTGTTTCGATTCATGCATCAATTCAATTCAGTTTATTCATATAGTTTCACAACACGTCATTTCAGCGCACTTTACAGAGACAGTTCAACCAGATCATACAGTTAGATTGGTTTTCTGTTAAAGGAAATGACATGTTTAGCCGCATGTCGTCATTCAACCGCTGGTTGTCTAGGTGGTGCCCTGAAAACAACGTGGGCTACATTAATAATTGGCAATCCTTTTGGGGAAAGCCTGGTCTGATTCGGAGAGACGGCATCCATCCCACTTTGGATGGTGCAGCTCTTCTTTCTAGGAATCTGGCCACATTTATTAGTCCTCCAAAACCCTGACCACCCAGGGTGCAGACCAGGAAGCAGAGTTGTAGTTTAACACACATCTCTGCAGCTTCTCTACTGTTACCCACTCTTTACTCCATCGAGACAGTGTCTTGCCCACGACCAAAATCTAATAAATTAGCAAAGATTCCCAAAGGAGTAAGTCATGATAATCTAATTAAAATCAAAATAACTCCAATTGGGGAAAAAGTTAAAACAATTAAATGCGGTCTGTTTAACATAAGATCGCTTTCCTCTAAAAGTCTACTAGTTAATGACTTGATTTGTGATAATCACATTGACTTGTTTTGCCTTACAGAAACCTGGCTGCAGCAAGAGGATTATGTGAGCATAAATGAGGCAACTCCTTCAAGCTATTTAAATTTTCACATCCCCAGAAGTTCTGGGCGAGGAGGAGGAGTAGCAACAATCTTCCAGTCTGACTTACTGATTACTCCCAAAACAATTAATACCTACAACTCTTTTGAACATTTAACCCTTAATTTCCCTGATCCAAATTTCAAGGCAAGAAAACCTCTTCTTTTTGTAACTTTGTATCGTCCACCAGGTCCTTACTCTGAATTTTTAGATGAGTTTTCAGAGTTCCTTTCTGATTTGGTATTAAATACTGACAGGGTCATCATAGTGGGAGATTTTAACATCCATACTGACATTGAAGGCGATAGCTTAAGAGCAGCCTTTAATGCTATCTTAGACACTATTGGCTTTGTTCAAAATGTGAATAGTCCCACGCATTCTCATCTTCATACTTTGGATCTTGTGCTGACATACGGCATAGAATGTGAAGAAATAACAGTATTTCCTCACAACCCTGTCCTCTCTGACCACTTTCTAATAACCTTCAGGATTACTTTAACAGAGTTCTCCTCCCCCAAAAGAAGGTTCAATTTTAGTAGATCTTTATCAGATAGTGCAGTTATAAATTTTAAAGAATCTGCTTCACTTTCTCTCTCCTCTGTGTCGCTGAGCAGTGCTGCAGAGTGCAAAAGCTTAGCTTATTCCCCTTCACAGGTTGATGATTTTGTTGATGGGGTTGCTAGTTCTCTGCGTATTGCCTTAGACAACGCAGCTCCTTTGAAAATGAAAACCGTTAAAAATAGAAAGCTTGCTCCTTGGTTTAATGCAGAGCTGCGTACTTTGAAGCAAAATGCTAGGAAACTGGAGAGAAAATATCGCTCCACAGGCCTGCGAGAGTCCTTCCTAGTCTGGAAAAATGGTTTACTGCTGTATAAGAGGACCCTTTGTAAAGCAAGAGCAGCGTACTTCTCCTCATTAATAGAGGAGAATAAGAATAATCCTAGATTTCTTTTTAATACAGTTGCCAAACTCACCCAGAGCCATAGCTCTGTTGAACCGTCCATTCCACCTGCTCTTAGCAGCAATGATTTTATGGGATTCTTTATAAATAAGATTGATCTTATTAAAAATAAGATCATAAGCACTCCTCTATCCGCGATTGTATCTGAGGTAGTCATGGAATCTGAACCGGGTTTAGACTGCTTTGATCCAGTTGAACTCTCTGAATTAGCAAAATTATTGTCTTCATCTAAGCATTCAACTTGTATGTTAGATCCAGTTCCAACCAGGTTATTTAAGGAGGTATTCCCTTTGATCTCCTCCTCCATTTTAGATGTGATTAATCTATCTCTGTTACAGGGATATGTACCTAAAGCTTTTAAGGTTGCTGTAATTAAACCTCTGCTTAAGAAACCGTCTCTTGACCCAGATGACTTGGTCAATTATAGACCTATATCCAATCTTCCTTTCTTGTCCAAAATTCTTGAGAAAGTAGTTGCCAAACAAGTTTGCGATCACTTCCACCATAATGAACTTTTTGAAGAGTTTCAGTCTGGCTTTAGAGCTCATCATAGCACTGAAACAGCTCTGGTGAAAGTCACTAATGATATTCTCATGGCCTCAGATAATGGACTTGTATCTGTGCTCGTCCTGTTGGCTCTTAGTGCTGCATTTGATACAGTTGACCATAATATTCTTTTAGAAAGACTTGAATATTTTGTTGGAATTAAAGGAACAGCACTAGACTGGTTTAAATCTTATCTATCTGATCGAATTCAGTTTGTTCATGTTAATGATAGATCTTCAACACGCTCAAAGGTTACCTGTGGAGTACCACAGGGATCAGTGCTAGGACCAATTCTCTTTACTTTATACATGCTCCCAATTGGTAGAATTATTAGACAGCATGGGATTAATTTCCACTGTTATGCTGATGATACCCAGCTATATCTGTCTATAAATCCAGATGAAGCTAACCCATTACATAGATTACAGGCATGTCTTGAAGACATAAAAACCTGGATGACTCTTAACTTTCTGCTTCTGAATGCAGACAAAACAGAAGTTATAGTCTTTGGACCAGAGTCTCTGAAAAAGAAGCTGATTAGCCAGTCACTTCATTTGGATGGGATTAAACTGATTTCAGATAATAAAGTAAAAAATCTTGGTGTTATTTTTGATCAGGACCTGTCATTTAAATCCCATATCAAAGAGGTTTCTAGAATTTCCTTCTTTCATCTGAGGAACATTGCAAAAATTAGAAATATCCTGTCCAGGGGTGATGCTGAGAAACTAGTCCATGCATTTGTTACTTCAAGGCTGGACTATTGTAATTCTTTACTATCAGGAAGTCCACAAACTGTAGTTAAAAGCCTTCAGCTGATCCAAAATGCTGCAGCCAGAGTTCTAATGAAAATTAAAAAGAGAGATCATATCTCGCCTATCCTGGCTTCTCTTCATTGGCTTCCTGTTAAATCCAGAATAGAATTTAAAATCCTCCTTCTCACATATAAAGCCTTAAATGGCCAAGCTCCATCTTATATCAGAGATCTGATTGTTCCTTATGTTCCTAACAGAGCACTTCGCTCTCAATCTGCATGTTTACTAGTGGTTCCTAGAATTTCTAAAAGTAGAATGGGAGGCAGATCTTTTAGTTATCAGGCTCCTCTCCTGTGGAACCAACTACCAGTTTTAGTCCGTGAGGCAGACACCCTGTCTACTTTTAAGGCTAGGCTTAAAACTTTC